AAGACTGCATAGCACAGAAAGACCCGCTGATAAAGATCCTGCGACTGGTCTGCATGCAGTCTGTCTGCAACAACGGCCTCAAACAGAAGGTCCTGGACTACTATAAGAAAGAGATCCTTCAGGTACGACAGAGGGAATTTCTTTGTGCTTTGCTTTTATTTCCTTTTAGACCGATTTTGTGAATGCATAATGGTGAATTTGAATCACAGAATTTTGTGCAACACTTGTGCAAGACCATAGAAGTGAACTATAAATGCCTTAAACATTTACAGTTGTTTGTGTTTTGTTGGGTTAGACATATGGTTACAAGCACATTCTAACTCTCAAGAACCTGGAAAAGGTTGGGTTACTCAAACCTCAAAGCACCATGAGAAACAACTACCCCACAATCAGGAAGACCCTCAAACTGTGGATGGAGGATGCCAATGAACAGGTTTCGATACAGAACGAGACCAAACACGATATCAGCACGTCTCCACACGTTTTAGAAATAATTTTAGAAATATGAGAAAAGAAATGCATTTTTAACATGGTACTTTTTACATTCTCTGGAGATAGATTATATTTTAGGTTTGAGTAATGTCTTTGTTCAGTGTGTGTTTATAGTGATTTTACTCTCAGGTCAGCACATATATAGAAGACTGCATAGCACAGAAAGACCCGCTGATAAAGATCCTGCGACTGGTCTGCATGCAGTCTGTCTGCAACAACGGCCTCAAACAGAAGGTCCTGGACTACTATAAGAAAGAGATCCTTCAGGTACGACAGAGGGAATTTCTTTGTGCTTTGCTTTTATTTCCTTTTAGACCGATTTTGTGAATGCATAATGGTGAATTTGAATCACAGAATTTTGTGCAACACTTGTGCAAGACCATAGAAGTGAACTATAAATGCCTTAAACATTTACAGTTGTTTGTGTTTTGTTGGGTTAGACATATGGTTACAAGCACATTCTAACTCTCAAGAACCTGGAAAAGGTTGGGTTACTCAAACCTCAAAGCACCATGAGAAACAACTACCCCACAATCAGGAAGACCCTCAAACTGTGGATGGAGGATGCCAATGAACAGGTTTGTCCTGGCATTCATTTTTAGTACGGTTTTCATATAACTCAAAATGGCCTTCACCGTTCAAATAGTCCCCACCCAAACTCACTCCAATGCTTTGAAGTAATGGACACTTTACACACTTGCATTAATTTAGTATGCTTAGTGTAATGTATTGATTTCAATACATTAGACCAGTGGTTCCCAACCCTGATCCTTGAGGCACTCCAACACTGCACGTTTTGCATGTCTCCTTAATCAAACACACCTGATTCAGGTCATCAGCTCTTTAGTAGAGACTTCAAGACCTGAAATTGGTGGGTCAGAGAAAGGAGACATGCAAAATGTGCAGTGTTCGGGTGCCTCAAGGACCAGGGTTGGGAACCACTGCATTAGACAACAACATATCAAAACCAATAGCATATATTTAGTGCATGCACACATTTCAAGTAAAATATTTCACAAGCACAAGTATGTTGGGTTTTCAAACCATGTTACTGTTCAAAATGCACTGTTTAAAGTAAACAAAGTTTTGGGACACTTTGTAGTTGTCAAGAGGAGCTAATTTAGTGAGTTACAGTTTTGGTTATTCTGCTAGTGCACTTGACATCATACACTACCAGTCAAAAGTTTTCGAACAGTAAGATTTTTAATGTTTTTTAAAGAAGTCTCTTCTGTTCACCAAGCCTGCATTTATTTGATCCAAAATACAGAAAACGCAGTAATATTGTGAAATATTTTTACTATTTAAAATAATTGTTTTCTATTTGAATATATTGTAAAATGTAATTTATTTCTGTGATGCGCAGCTGTATTTTCAGCATCATTACTCCAGTCTTCAGTGTCACATGATCCTTCAGAAATCATTCTAATATGCTGATTTGCTGCTCAAAAAACATTTATTATTATTATTATCAATATTTAAAACATTTGAGTACATTTTTTTTTTCAGAATGAATAGAAAGATCCAAAGATCAGCATTTATCTGAAATATAAAGCTTTTGTAACATTATACACTATATTATTAAAAAGTTTGGAGTCAGTATAATTTTTTTTTGGGGGGGGGGAGAAATTATAGAAATTAATACTTTTATTATTTAGCAAGGATGCTTTAAATTGATCAAAAGTGATGATAAAGACATTTATAAAGTTACAAAAATTTATATTTCAGATAAATGCTGTTCTTCTGAATTTTCTATTCATCAAAGAAACCTGAAAAAATTCTACTCTGCTGTTTTCAACATAATATTAATAATAATAAATGTTTTTTTGAGCAGCAAATCAGCATATTAGAATGATTTCTGAAGGATCATTGACGGGAGTAATGATGCTGAAAATTCAGCTTTGAAATCACAGGAATAAATTACATTTTAAAATATACTCAAATAGAAAGCAGTTATTTTAAATAGTAAAAATATTTCACAATATTACTGATTTTGCTGGATTTGGGATCAAATAAATGCAGGCTTGATGAGCAGAAGAGACGTCTTTAAAAAAACATAAAAAATCATACTTTTCAAAAACTTTTGACTGGTAGTGTACATTCATTAAATAACCTTGCAATCAGTTAGTTAAAAGTGATTACAGATGCCTCAGAAAATTGCAGATAGTTTTGAGAAATGTTTTCTAGCATCATTTGTTTGGAGATATATACTGTATATTTGAATCCAGTGTATAGGTATGTCTCTACATATTTTATATGGGCACAAGCCGTGTAAATTCCTACTTGACTGTGGCACGTCTAAGGACTGTGTTTGTTATTGATGGTTTTGGGAATGACTGATGCTTGTTAACTTTCCTTTAGAACCCCAACGACATCTCGTACGTGTACAGTGGCTATGCGCCGCTGAGTGTTCGCCTGACACAGGTGCTCGCTCGTCCTGGCTGGAGGAGCATCGAGGAGGTGCTGAAGATGCTGCCTGGGCCACACTTTGAAGAGAGACAGCAGGTTCCCACAGGCCTTCACAAGAAGCGTGAGTGAAGAGCTTTGACATGGTTTTCTTTGAGGAAAGACGGTCATTCTAGATCAGTAAACCCATCATAGTCTAGGGTTGCAAAGGGGTGGAACATTTCCGGAAAGTTTCCAAAAATTCCAGTTACAGTTTCACTGTATGAAGAATTTTAAGGGTATAATATGTCAGTTTACGTTATTTTGCTATCCTCACTTACATAAATTAACTATAGTGTCCTCCACGCACTAGTAAAAAAAAATCAACAATTATATCTGGTGTCTGAATAATTTTTGGTTTGGTTTGACTGTATACTACATAGCAAATCTTAACTCACGCACTAGTAAAAAAAATCAACAATTATATCTGGTGTCTGAATAATTTTTGGTTTGGTTTGACTGTATACTACATAGCAAATCTTAACTACCTGTTTGATTGTATCGTCGCAAAATGTAAACTATATTATCGCCCAGCTCTAATCTGCTAAATGTGATTATCAGGTATGAGGACATTATTAGATATTATTTATGTAAAGCTGCTTTGAAACAATGTGTAGTGTTAAAAGCGCTATATAAATCATGTTTAAATAAAACACTTTATGCATATGGTTGTATGTGGTTCTCCTTCTCTTTAATTTGCAGGTCAGCCTGGAGAAAACAGAACCACCCTCGTCTTCTTTCTTGGGGGTGTGACGTATGCTGAAATCGCTGCTCTGCGGTTCTTGTCTAATATGGAAGATAGTGGGACTGAGTACATTATTGCAGCCACCAAACTCATCAATGGCACCAGCTGGATAAAGTCTCTCATGGACAGTCCTGAGGAAAACTTGCCTTAAAGCAGCCATGCGATCTGTAGGGCCTCACAGATCCTGCTATCGGTCAACGGTAATGTTTTGTGTACATGTAGAATGTGAGTTATATCAAACTGTCGATGCCGTTTTGTCTGATCATTTTTAAGGATTATGAAGGGAGTTGAAATCGCTGTTACGATACGAATTTATTTATGAGAAAACATTTGTGAAAACCTGCATCTGATCTAAGCAGCGAGGTTTGTGAGTTAACCGCTAATGCAGTGTAGAAACATACTAATGTTGTGTATATAACCTGCTTTGTCAGATTGCATGTTTTCCCAGAAGCCACCATATATTGTTTTAGAAAGTAGTGGCAACTTTTTCGATAATGCATTCCTGGTCTACATAAAAAAGAACTATGTTGGCTTTAGCGCATGTTCATATAATAATTTGTTTATCAAAATTATAAAATTGTAACTCCTTTACAGCTGTTCATAACTGTACAGTTTGAGTCCTGACATTAAAGGGATAGTTCACCCAAAATGAACAATAAAAACATTGACAGCCAATCCAGCCGAACTCGAGTGTTTAAAGTGGCATATGAGAAAACGGCAGCGTAGTGTTATACACTGTATATGATCTAGCTGAATTAAACCGGTTTCAAAATTGATGAACTTCACACTGTATCAATCTGAATTTAACCAAAACTGAACTGACTTCAGCTAAATAATGACACCATTGTCTTTTAGAGCTGCTTTACAGCAGAATCTGAACAGTTTTCAACTCTCCGTAGTTGAGTTTATTGTTGAGTTGAGATTATTTCTGATTATTTTCCTGTTCCTATTACTAACATTCACATACAAGTATTAATATTCACAAGTTAATATTCATCACTGACATGTAAATATGGGCGATCCTTTAAATCCTTTTTTTGTGTGTGTGTGTAAAGACAGACACATGAAAATAATTGTCCATTCTGATCTTTACAGCAGAATCTGAACAGTTTTCAACTCTCCGTAGTTGAGTTTCCATAATTATTTCTGCTATTTTCCTGTTCCTATTACTAACATTCACATACAAGTATTAATATTCACAAGTTAATATTCATCACTGACATGTAAATATGGGCGATCCTTTAAATCCTTTTTTTGTGTGTGTGTGTAAAGACAGACACATGAAAATAATTGTCCATTCTGATATTTAAACAGATCATTTAATCTTAACATCGGGATTGTGGCATACTCTCCAAATACAGGATCTCTCAGGTGCATCTGTGGTCATACACTTGGGCAATGATACACATGCTTTATGAAGAGCAGTCATCATCATCATCATAAGTAGAGTTTGATGAGCTCGTCGCTGACAGCAGAAGGCGTCAGCACACCGAGGTCCGTGAAGAGTAATGTGATGAGGGATGGAGGGGTGTAATCGATCATGGGGTGCTCTTGGTTCAGATCCTTCACTGTCTTCAGGATATCTGCTTTATACTGAAACACAAGAAACAAGAGCGATGACATGCATCTATTATGTGTAACTGAAAAAGTGTTTCAACTAGCTTGCCTTGAATCTGTCGGGTACGTCTTGCTGGTTCAGAGGGTAGAGCCGCACAAACTTGAAACTTTCTGACACCACATAAAATGGTTTATTGTGTGCCTTGGAGCACACGGCCATCTGATAGGTACCAATCTAGGAAATAAATGGAATCACTTGACCGGTTTATAAAATAAATGCAATAATAACCGCTAAATGCATTTTGTTTTAAAGGAACACTCCACTATTTTTGAAAATGGGCTCATTTTCCGACTCCCCTAGAGTTAAACAGTTGAGTTTTACCGTTTTCGAATCCATTCAGCCGATCTCCGGGTCTGGCGGTAGCACTTTTAGCTGTAGCTTAGCATAGATCATTGAGTCTGATTAGACCGTTAGCATCTCGCTCAAAAATGACCAAAGAGTTTCTATATTTTTCCTATTTAAAACTTGACTC